TGAACACTGAAATAAGTGCTGACAGTGATGAACTGTAACTCATTTAGTAAAATTAAAATTCATAACTTGATACTGATAATTAAATCAATAAATAAGAAAAACTTTCTTACAGTAGAGTGAGCACTAACAAACATAGAAAGATGAAAGTTGAAAAATTATAATTTTGCAAGTATCAGTATCTACTGCTGATCTATTGCACACATATCTATTGCTGTACCTACATATCTATGTCTGTTATGTACATATATTGAACAGCATGAGTTTATACTTATAGCTGTAATTCCAATCCAACACCACAAGATTCTTCTTAGTGTTTTGAATTCAATATCAGTATTTACCTACTAAGGTGTAAAAATATACCTACTAAGTTGAACACCAGATTGTTTGCCATGATTTTCAACTTTGAATTAAGGGTTTATAGTCATAGTTCTTATGCAGATAGTTGTGATCAGATGGTGCTCTATAAGATAAATTACAAAAAGTGAGGCATGAAAGGTTTAAGTTAATATTAATTATGTCCACTGATAGAAAATCTTCAACCAACAGTCTCCTACTGCACTGAAAAGATCCAAGCAAAAGCATTAAATGAATGTAATATTTTGGGGGGGGGAAGATATCATGTAGTCTCAAATATCTCCCCACAAACTATTATTAATTTGATAGAGGGAAAAAAAACAGTAACATTACAGTCAAGACAGCTTGCAGACATCACCTTGATCAAACAGTGAACATTAACATCACTGGGCCCAAAATGACAGTGCGATTCCTGATATGCTGCACAGGGATGGACACAGCTTTGTGGTGTTCCTGCCAAAAATGCCTCACTTCAATCCAACCATGAGGAAACAATTAAAGAAGGCTCAAGAGATATGACAAATAAATGTATCACAGTCTACTGGACTGTAGATTAGATAACAGCAAGTACTAAATTAAATGTGCTGTTTTGATCATTGTAATATGGCCATGTAAGAGAATATCCTTTTTCTCAAAGGAAGTAGTTAAGTATTTAGAACTAGAAGTGTGATGTCTGCAACTTATTCCCAAACAGTCCATAAAAATAATATAATAATAACAATATAAATTAAAACCTCAGTTCTTTTTTCTTCAAACTAAATAATTTCAATTATTTTAGCCTTTTAAATATAAAACAAAGAACTTGTGAAACAAAGAATTTTAAAAGTTGCTTGTTTTAAACAGAAATTTGGGGAGATTTAAAAGAAGACCTATAGTTTCAATTCAACTTAATAAAAAAGTTTCGAGTCCTTATACATAGGGATCCTATACCCAAAGACCTCAGTCTGTTAGAGGAGGAAAACATGCATAAGTAATTATAGTGTAAGAGAAACATACTATACGTACTGAAAATGAAGGATAAGAGAGTACCAAAGGAATGTTAAGAGGAAGTGGTTAATTCTAACTACTATATTAGTATTATTTAACATTTACTATTTACTAGGCCCTGTACTAAGTGCTTTATTTACAGGGTGCAGCAAAAGTAGGTTTACAATTGTTCATATGGAAAATAGTACAATAATAAATAATAATACAAGAACAAACTCTGTGTTTTGCATACTCACAACTGTAAACCTATTTTTGCCCCACACTGTATTAATTCATTGACTATACCAACAATCCCATAAGATAGGCAGTATTACCCCCATTCTACAGATGAAGCAACTGAGGCATAGAGAATTTCAGAATCTGGATATAGGTTATGTGGTTAGCTAGTAGTCCAAGTTTTAAACTCAGACAGGCTGACTTTATAGCCCATGTAGAAGATTAACGAAAAAAGCAGCATTTGAGTGATCCCTAAAAGATGAGCATAATTTCAAAAGGATGGGAAGTATAAGGAGGAATATTCAAGGCTGGAAGAAAAACAAGCAAAGGTATAGAGATAGTAAATATAGGTCATATGGAAAATTTAGAGAATGGTATGTAAGATGTGGAGAAAGAAATGGGTGAGAGCAGATAATAGAAAATTAGACAAGCTAAAAAAATATATTAGACTCCATGATAAATACTAATACATACTTTGTTAATAAAGAGAATGTTTTTTATATGTTTCACAATCTTGATGTGACTCATGAATTCAGTATAGTCTTTGCAACATCCAAATGAACCAAGTGCTAAAAATGAATTATTACAATTCACTCTCTTAAAAAAAAAAAGTACCAGAACACAAAGCATGACTTTCACACTTTTATAGTGACCTCCATACCCCTAAGAATAATAATTTCATTTCACAAAAATCCTATCACCATGTAATATTGAAATTGCCAGAACTGAAAAGAGAAAATCAAAATGTCACAATTCTGGCTTAGTTTAACAAGACTATAAACTTTTTAAGAAACAGTAAATGAAATGTGAATATACCATGTATCCCTTCTGTGATAACTCCATCTTTGTCATAATATTTATAAGGATATAATGAGTGATTGATTCCATAAACTTCATTACATATGCACTTTAACCAGTAGAACAACCAGACATGAATGCCTAATGTCAGACTTCTAAGTTGGTAATTGGTTGCTCATATAAATAAGTAAAAATGTTATTTTGGCTGCATAGTAAACTAATTATAGATAAATAAAACAAGTGGTACTTTTAAACTCTGTTTTCATTTCATTTCTTTTTTTATTTTTATTTTATTTTAAATATGTTTTTTAATTGGTTTCAGAGAGAAGAAGGGGGAGAAAGAGAGACAAACATCAATGACAAGAGAGAATCATCAATCAGCTGCCTCCTGCACATCCCCTATTGGGGATTGAGCCCAAAACCCAGGCATGTGCCCTGACAGGGAATTGAACCATGACCTCCAGGTTCATTGGTCAATGCTCAACCCCTGAGCAACACCAGCCAAGCAAAACTCTGTTTTTATTTCTTGATAGATATGGATAAAAATCTGATTTTTATTTAGTAAACTATAGGTTTAATCTGTTCAAAATCTATATAATCAAAGAATATACAAAATCCATTTACAAGTATAATAAAAACAGTTAAACTTTTCTTTTTCTGTTAACCCTCACCTGAGAATATTTTTTCCATTGTTTTTAGAGAGAGTGGAAGGGAGGGAGAGAGTGGGAGGGGAGAGAGAGAAACATCAATATGAGAAAGACATATCGATTGCTTGCCTTCCACATGCACCCCGACTAGCCAGGGATCAAACCTGCAACCCAGGTACATGCCCTTGACCGGAAATCGAACCTGTGAACCTTCAGTGCACAGGCTGATACTCTAACCACTGAGCAACACTGGCCAGGGCAAAACAGTGAAACTTTTCAAAATGTTTAAATTCAAACATCTAAATTTTTCAAAATGTCAAAAACATTTATAATTAAAACATTAAGAGTCATTAGTTACTATTTTTATATATTTAATAAAAGACCAAAAATGAACTTTATTTTTTACATCTTTGATGCAGAGTTTTTAACTGCCCAACATAATCTTTTTCCATTCTGGAAGAATCCTAAAATATTTCCTTGATTGACAGAACAGAATTGATCAGTAAGATACAGGCAATATTAAGAAGCATCACAGCCCGGCCGGGCGTGGCTTAGTGGCTGAGCATCGTCCTAGGATCCAGGCAATCAGGGTTCAATTCCTGGTAAGGGCACATGCCCGGGTTGCGGGCTCAATCTCCAGTCGGGGGCGTGCAGGAGGCAGCCGATCAATGACTCTCTCATCATTGATGTTTCTATTTCTCTCTCCCTCTCCTTTCCTCTCTCTGAAATCAATAGATATATTTAAAAAAAAAAAAAAGCATCACAGAAAAGAATATGAAAAAGATAGGCGCATGATTTTAAAGAGCATTTGAAAATCAAGTTATATTTGACTTAGTATAAAACTAAAGAACATGTGAACAATTAATGAAATAGAACACTGAACTATAAAAAAGTTCCCCACATAAAAATATCTAAAATGATATTTAAAATTCAACAGTCATACTTTACATGTCTAACTGGATTTCTGAGAGTAAGAAAAATCCATAAGGCCTTTAACAGGGGTTAAGGAACTGAAAAGCTGTGCAATAATCTTAAACTGACACCACAGCTGCCTGGAGGGTATTTGCTAATAATAGGAATCTAGGCTTTCACAGAAAGACAAAGAGAGGCTAGTCCCCAGTCTCTACCCAGCATGGCGAAAAGTTGGAACTTAATATCACTACATGAAAACACAAATTTTGACCACCTATATTCTTTATGAAAAGATGCATTTAAAAAAAAAAAAGTCTACTCAACAGCAAAGAAAAATGATAGGTAACTTTCTATGAGAATTTACTCTTAACACCACAAAGTCCCACAATATTCCAACATATTTAGGTAAGTTAAAAATGAATTCATTATCTAAAATTACAAAACTAACAATAAAATAAAAATCCAAGAATAAGTCAACAGAAATAACAAATAGCAGAATTAGATCTCTATTGACATCAGCTATTAGAAATAACAAATACATACTACAAAATAACTATGTTTAAAAAATTACAAAAAGGAAATTGAAACATGAGCAAGGAAAATGTTATAAAAACAAACCAAATATAATTTCTAGCAATGAAAAATATATTTAACTAAAAACCTAACTATAAAATATATATATTTCAAACAATATTTTAAACAATTGGGGGAAATAACTATGGACTAGTTATTAGATGATCACAGAATTTTTGTTAAATTTTATTATGTCATAATGACATTATTTAAGATGTCAATATTTTTAGCTGTGTGTACTGTATGTAGTATGATATATTATCTGGGATTTGCTTCAAAATACTACAGGGGGAAAAAAGGAATAAATGAAGCAAACGTTAGAAAAATGTGGGAAATATTAACTCTGAATGATGCATTCATATGAAAATTTGATTATAAAAATAAAATGAAACTCAACGGATAGAATAATCAGAATTTTTGATATAGCCAAAAAGAAAATTAAAGAATTAGAAGGTGGATCTGAAGTGGCTATCCACAGTATGAGTAAAATTAAAAGGAGATAAAAAAACTTACCTTCCTTTGGGCTCACTGCTGCAGGAAGACTGTTCCAATCAAGGGTCCAAGTAGGGTAAGGGTGGGGAGAAAACATCACTTCAATGCCTTTTTCCTAAAGAAGGAAATAGGCCCTTTCCAGATTAATGAATTAACAAAATCTTATGTACTACAAGGTCAAATTTATGTTTTCTATACTAGCAAGGAAGAACGTAATTATCAACAATCATCAGATTTTCCTCAAAATATTTGGTTACATAAGAAATATAATATATTGAGTGTTTTGACAGCAGCTACTTTCCTATTATTTTTACACTGAGATAATAAAAATAATGATATTTAAAAGTTATTACCTGAAAATACATAAAAGTAATGAGCTACCTAGAAATATATTGGGTATCAAAGAGAAAAGTCACCTGAGGTTAAAATTTTATCAAAAACAATCCACACAGAGGTGATCAAAAACTGACTCTGCATATGTCCATCAATATCTGTATTTACATATATGAAAATTGTCACAACTTAGGAGCTATATTCACAAGACCAAAAAGCCCCACTTCAACATATGCTCAAAAAATATCATCTATACCAGTCTTTTACAAGTTCCAGCAATGTCTTTAGAAAATAATTCCTCTGGTTTAACCAAACAGTTAACAACATTTTCAAGAATGAGGACCACTTTTCAATATATCAAAAATTCTCAGACTTCTTTATCATATTAAAACTTGTACATTTATTTATTTGATCAACAGAAAGTGGCATGGCATACCCATGAATTCCCAGACTCCTCCCAATCAAGTTCTGGGTCCACAGCCCACAGAATAAACATCCATGGTTCATGTAATTTTTTTTTTTATCTCCAGTAGTATCTTATTCAAAAGAAAAACCCTTGAGAATCTATCATTAACTTGTTTATATCAGTTAGTTCATGAGATTGCTTTCCATTATTAAAATTAGCAAAATCCCTGTCCCAAAGGAAATAGTATAAAGATTCTTTGGTTGGGGTAGAGATATAGCTAGATAGATAGGTCTAGAGCCCTAGAGCACTCGCTTGCCTCCAGGAAGATAAACACATTAGTCTTTCTGACATCATTTACCTCTCTATCCTATTTCTTATTCTAGCCACCCATATTGAACTTTTTGCTATTCTTCATTTCACCAAACTCATTCCTATTCTAGCGTCTTTAAAGAATACAATTATATTGACATATAATTTATGTCATAAAATTTACCCCTTTAAAGCATACAATTCAATGGTTTTTAGAACGTTCACAGTTGGGCAACCATCATCTCTATCTATTTTGAGAACATTTTCATCACTTCACAAAGAAGTCCCAACCCATTAGCAGAGACTCTCACTGCTCTCCCCTCAGATCCTTGCCCTAGGCAACCACTGATCTACTTTGCCTCTACAGATTTTCTCCAGGTCTTTTTACCAGTGTCATCCTCTGCCTAGAACACTTTCTCCAAATCTTCAATTTATTCAGGTTATTTGTTCAATGTCTTCACCTAATCTGATAAGCCTTCTTGACCATCCTACCTAAATGGATTCCTACCCCAATCACCTCCACTCTTATCATACATCATTTTTTACAGCACTTATCATTACCTAATGTGTTTTTTCTTTATTTACTTCCCCCACCAGAATGTATGCACCATGAGAACAGTCCAATTGGTTCTTCATATATCCAATATTCAGACCAGTGCCTGGTGTTTAGTAGACATGTACATTTTTTGGTCTGACTAAATAAATAAATTTAAAACTTCTGGAAAATAAGGGAAATTGTGGAGATAAGATTGTGCCAAAGAATACAGAAGGGGGAAAAAAAAGTGAGATGTGAGTGTCCCTAAGAAATAGTTAACTATTTTATACTTCTATTAGCACCAATTTCACACATCCTCTTGTAATTGGCACAAAATACTATGACTCTACAGAAATGAAAAGTTACTGTCTAATTAAAATCAATATATTCTCATAATATATTAATTTGATATATTTACTGCCTTCCAAAAATATGTCAATAGAGAAATCCACTAGTAAGTAGCAAAAACAATGCCCTATTGAAAAAAAAAAAGTAATTTTATTGTATCGACAATCAAATTTGAATTAAATAAAAATAAAAATTTTAACTACTTTTCAGATTTGAGCATTCCTTTTTTAAAATTATAAATGTAATGTCTCAGTCAATTTTTATACAACCATAAGAGTTAAAATAAAAAAATCAATCATACAGAATGTCTACTATACTCTCCTAATTTATAAATTCAGGAATTGATATCTTTTAGCTAGATGACTTACTGAAGGTCACAATGTCAGTGCGGCTACAAAGCTGAGACTAGAATCCAAGTCACCTGACCCTAGTTTAGTCTTCAAATGGACTGCTCCCAAATCAATGACTGACAGTGGCAGGGACACTAAGGCAGACCCATTCCTGAGAAATATGGAACTCTCTGGTAGATGGTTCAAGCTCAAGGATTCCCCAATGACTTGCCAAAACTTTCTTAGAACTGCACTTAGTGTAAGAATTTTCAGACCCGACCTTCCTTCCTTTCCTGTCTGATGCACAGGGGTCAAATCTGCATCATGACTGAAGGCTCTGCCAGTCTCCTTGGGCTCCCTCCCCCCTTTCTCTCACTGATGTTTCCTCAGTAGGCCTCTTGCTTATCTAACCCTATCTTGGAGTTGAACCCTTCTTGGAGGACCTAAACTAACAACCCCCCCTATAAATTAAAAACTCAGTATTTCTTTGTATTTTTATATCATTACAATAGGGCTTATTTTTATAATTGTTTATTAACTTTTTCTGAATTTAAATTTTAGTTATTTATCTCCCTTTTTAAAAATATTTTTAAATTTGTAAAATGCAAGTATCTTTCCTAATGTCATTCTATTGCTGGAAAAGCAGATAGAAAAATCTGAATTGCTGATCTTTCTTTCAAGACTCTGCACAAGTATGAATTAAAAGCACAAATTTTTGGTTTGTTAAATTTAAATTTTTTTTAATTTAGTATTTTAATACAAAGCAGATTACTCTCCTTATGATTATTGATTTAAGAATATTCAGGAGATGAACAGTGTAACCATCTGATCAAGGCACATCAAATTTTGCACATGCATTGACAGCTTCTAAAATCAACTATATAATCCTGTTTCATTGTTTCATCACTAGGCTAACAAAGCTTAGCTGAAGAAATAAGGGACTGGTGTCATTACTAAAATCTTCTTATGCTTTTCTAAATCCACAAATGTCCTGTTAACTATAGAACTCAAATGATTCCTAACCCAAGTAGAAAAATATAATGAATATTTTTCCAATACAACTCAGATGCACAGCTCAAATTACTTCAGAAATTCTCTATTCAAATAAACCTTCAAATAGCCTGTTAAAAGCAAAACATTTTTGTAGACTGTCTTGAGTGGTGGCAAAAAGAAACACTATTGGTGAAAACTTACACAATTAGCACTATCAGAAACAAATTATGCTGTGAAGAGAGAAAACTAAATCATGTGTTACTATATAAAAGAGTACTGCAATCAAAGAGTAAGGTAAAAACAAAGTTCAGAGAATTAAAAAATCTTAAAAATTTAGAAGAATCTCAGAGAGTAAACTGAGATACTCATCTTCATATTTCCTTAATTTAAATCATCATCTCAAAATTTTAAAAAACTTAAAATCAAATCCTTGCAACAAAAAATTTATCAGGTAAAACAATAAATTTGACCAGGTGTAATATGACCTTGGTGTCTTAAATATTTTAAAAAAAAAGTTTTGAGAAAAATACTGTTTACAAATACATATTCTGACTTATTTGGCTCCAAAGACACATAATGTTAAAATCCTTCAACTTACTATATCTCACTTAAATGCAAAATGCTAATAGAAATATTAATTGATCAAGAGTGATATAAGACAGTTACAAATAAAATTTATAACAAATAATATCAACAAATGATTACAAGTTAGGGTAACACTATCACAAGAAATTTTTCAAAGAAAATTTTAATGAAAACAACTTAAATACCATTAACTTGGTCATAGTGGGTCTTGGTCCTCCTATAAATGAAGGATCATTTTGTTCCTCTAGAGCTGGGGCCTCATTTAAGTCTGGATGCTGTTCATTTGACATAGCCAGCGACTCTGGTAAATGGAACAAGTGGATCCCACACTGAGAAGCTGCTGTTTTTACTTTTGGCACTTCCTGAATCCTCTGGTACCAAGCGGCCAACAGTGGGAATTCTACCAGCTTTTCAGAAAGTTTTTTGCAGATAATTAACTAGGCAGAAAAAGAACAAAACACATTATTATTATATATTTTTTGTTGATGACAGCTATACTGAAGTAATTTTCATACCATAACACTTACACATATTAAGTGTAGAGTTCAAAAAATGAGTTTTACTAAATGTATACACTTATGCAACTAACACTATAATCTATACAAGAACACTTAAGTTACACCAAGAAGTTCCCTTGTGACCATTTACAGTCAATCTCTGTTCTCTCGGTCAGTTGCAGGTAACCACTGTTCTACTTTCCATGTGTATAATTTTGCCTTTTCTGGAATTTCATATCAATGAAATCACAAAATGTGTCTGTGCTTGTTTGTTTTCACTTAGCATTATGTTTCTGAGATTCATCCAGGTAGTTGCATTTGTTTCTTTTAATTATGATACAGCACTAAAGGCTTTTATTATTCAAAGTGCTTGGATGCTGTCTCCCTAGCACCACCACCAAACTTCAATTTCTTTAAAAATAGTCTGTTCTTGCTTCTTTGCAAGGCACTGAATGCTGTTTCCATAGAAAGTTATAATGTCACAAATAGATCATGATTTATGATTATGAACAGATAAATAAGTAAAAAGGTTGAGTTACAGAAAATTTCTACAAGTATATCTAGCAATAGTCAGTACCAAAGCAAGAGCCAGAAAGCACAGAAAGTTAATAAAAAAATTCACAGGTGTATATATAGGGTGCCCCCTAAAAATGTATACACACACTTTGAATAATTATAAACATAGTGTTTATTAAAATACATTTCATTTTCAAAATTGAGTTATCAGCTATTAAAGTGTGCATACATTTTTGGGGGGACAGCCTGCATATTTACTTTATTTTAACTGGACTTTAAGGTTAAATAAGCACACATAATTTGTTATAAGGGCAGAGTTTATGTTCAACTCTATACACTGCAACACTTAAAATACTGCCTTGCAAAAAATATAAGCTCTTGTCCTGGCCGGTGTGGTTCAGTGGTTAGAGTGTCAGCCTGTGCACCAAAGGGTCGTGGGTTTGATTTCTGTTCAAGGGCACATACCTCGGTTGCGGGGGGGTAGGGGGGCAACCAGTCGATGTGTCTCTCTCACATCAATGTTTCCCTTTCTCTCTCCCTCTCTCTTTCTCTTCGACACTCTCTAAAAAAGCAATGGAAAAAAATCCTCAGGTGAGGATTTAAAAAAAAATACAAGCTATTTAGCGAATAAAGAATGACCAAGAAACCATTTATTACCTTCAAAGAATAATCACCAATTTTTCAAACTGCTTTTTATGACCGATTAGGAGATCATGAAATCAATGTAGATTTTTAAAAAACAAAATAACATTATCAGGAACAAGACAAGGATGCCCACTTTCACTACTTCTATTCAATATATTACTGGAAGTCCTACCCACATCAACCAGAAAAGATGAAGAAATAAAAGGCATCCAAATTGGAAAGAAGTAAAATTCTCATTATTTGCAGATGACATGATAGTATATGTAGAAAACCCTAAAAACTCTACCAAAAAACTATTATACAACAAATAAATGGCTTCAGTAAAGTTGCAGGACACAGACTCAATATGCAGAGATCTGTTGCGTTTTTATACACCAATAACAAATGATCGGAAGAAGAAATTAAGAAATTAATTCCATTTACAATCACATCAAGAAGTATAAAATAGGGATAAACTTAACCAAAGAGGTGAAAGACCTGTATTCTAAAAACTATAAGACGTTAAAGAAAGATACTCAACAACATGCAAATAAATGGAAGGGTATGCCTTGCTTGTGTACTGGAAAAATTAATATTGTTAAAATGTCATTACTACCTAAAGTAATATACAGATTCAATGCAACCTCTATTGAAATAGCAATGAAAATCTTCTCAAAATTAGAACAACTAATCCTAACATTTATATGGAATCACAAAAGACCCCGAATAGCCAAACAAATCCCGAGAAAGGACAAAGTAGGAGGTATTGTGCTCCTGGGTATCAAATTATACTACAAAGGCACAATAAGCAAAACAGTATGGTACTGGTATAAAAACAGGCATATAGATCAGTGGAATAGAAGAGAGAGCCCCAAAATAAACCCTCACTTATGTGGTCAGTGAAGGCAAGGATATACAGTGGGATAAAGGTAGTCTCTTTAATAGGTGGTGTTGGCAAAACTGGACAGATACATGGAAAAAGAAAAGAAATTGGACCGCTCCCTTATACCAGATAAAAAATAAACTCAAAATGGGTTAAAGACCTGAAACCATAAAACTTTCAGAAGGAAACACAGGCAGTAAACTCTTTGACATGGCTTTTACCAACATCTTTTTGGGTATATCTCCTCAAGGCATGGAAATAAAAGAAAAAAATAAACAAATGGGACTATATAAAACTAAAAAAATATTTGCACAGTGAAGAAACCATCAAGAAAACAAGATAACCTACTGAATGGGAGAAAGTATTCACAAATGATACACTGGTACAGGGCTAATATCCAAAATATAAATTACTCATACAATACCAAAAAAAGGCAAAGCAGACAATCCAATCAAAAAATAGGCACAGCACCTGAATAGATATTTCTTTTTTTAAAAAAATATATCTTTATTGATATCAAAGAAAGGAAGGGAGAGGGAGAGAGAGAATTGAAACATCAATGATGAGAGTCATTGATCGGCTGCCTCCTACACCCCCCTACACGGGCATGTGCCCTGACGAGGAATTGAACTCTGATCTCCTGGATCCTAGGTCCATGCTCACCCACTGAGCCATGCCCAGCCGGGCTAGACATTTCTTCAAGAAGACATACAGAGGGCCAGCAGACACAAGAAAAGATGCTCAGCATCACTAATCAGCAGGGAAATGTAAATAAAACCTACAATGAGATATCATTTTCTACTTGTCAGAATGGCTATCATCAATAAATCAACAAATAACAAGTGCTGGTGAGGATGTGGAGAAAAGGGAACCCTCGTGCACTGTTGGTGGAATTGTAAGTTAGTGCAGCCACTATGGAAAACTGTATAGAGATTCCTCAAAAAATTAAAAACAGAGTTTCCATAAGACCCAGCAATTCCACTTGTGGGTATTATTTGAAGAAAATACATTAACTTGAAAAGATATATGCACCCCTATGTTCACTGTAGAATTACTAGTAATAGTCAAGGTATGGAAGCAACCTAGGTGTCCACTGTTAGAGGAATAGATGAATGGACAAAGAAGGTGGTACAATGGACTATTATGCAGGTAATAAAAAATTGAAATCTTGCCATTTGCAAAAACATGGATGGACCTAGAGGTATTATGTTAAGTGAATTTAGTCTGACAAAGACAAATACGATATTACCTCACTTATATGTGGAGTCTAAAAAAACCTAATAGATGAATGAACAGAAGAGAAACATATCCATAGATATAGAGAACAATCTGATGACTGCCAAAGGGAAGGGGGTGGGGAGACAGGAATAAAAAAAGGTAAAATAACATAGAAAATGTGAAAATACACAGCATGTACTAACATGGATTATTTTATAAATATACTTACGTTTTAATATATAACATAAAAATGCATACTTGTATTTATATGCTTACGCACCCTGGAAAACACATTATTTACTATGGAAGTAAAGTTTGGAAAACACTGTCTAAATTGTGCTCCAGAAGTCAAAATAATTGGTTTGTAATTTGGTTTATAATTCTCACCAAAATTCTTAATTGCGTGGAAATAAATTACGTGCTAAGGGAACTGAGCTTAAGCCGTGATAAATTAATCAAATAAGAAATGTTTTCATTTTCTCACTTTTCTTTTACTCTCCTTGGCAGTGATTTATTCTTATCTGTTAGATGTATATGGTGTCTTTCCTTCTTTTTGAAAATAAGTTGTGAATATGTAATAATAATTCACGTTTAAAAGGAACGGAGGAGTTCTACTCTGCAAGGCAGACCATCCATCCCACTTCATCAGTATGCCAGGCGGCTCTACAACATCCGGACAGCTCAGTGGGTACCAAACCACATTCATTACACTCAGCAAGATACACTTAAGGAAGTGCCTAGTGAAAAATGTGTGAAATGGAAATTAAATTTGTCCCTAAAAAAAGATATTTTTAAAAATTTACCTGGCTGATAAAATCAAAACCATTATAAACATCACAGAGTTACTTAAGGACAAGAAAACAAGAGAATTTATTCTTCAAACAACAGTAAAAATTATACTACCAAGGGTGTACAATGAACCCCTAGTGGCTTTGTAATAGAGGCAGAAAAACTCGTTTGAATAAAAAGAGAAGCAAGATGTTACGTCTATCCAAAATATCTCCTCCTTTGTATTACTTTCCGATTACTTACTATACAAAACATCTTGTACTTATTTCATGTCGTTTTCTTAGTTATGTCTACTCTTCCAAAACATGTCATAACTGACAAATGTTTAGGTGAGCCCTGTAATGAGCAGGATCAAAAACTGACTGCTCCTCTAGGTCATTGGCCTTATTCCGGTGACTACACACCCTGGCTTACGGTTCAGCTCCGAGTTTCTGATCCAGCCCTGGTAAGCTGACCTTGATTCCTGATCATGAACTGACCCTGATCACTAGGCCTGCTACTCCATCACTGCCATGTGTGCTAGCGCAAGCACACGGGCTCGGCATCGCAGCCACTGTGTGAACTAAAATTACTGCTTCGTAACCCAAGATGACTGAAAGGAGGAAAATAAATATAACAGAAATAACATCAAGGCTTTGGCGAAGAGTAATTCCTGAAAGAGGTACAGATCCAGGTAAAATAAAAACAAACAAAGGAAAATATTTTGAGAATTAGTTTACATATGAATGTCAAGAGAAGAATTTAATCACAGAACACATGAACACAAAAGGCTGAGTGTACAAGTTTTCCCCTATTTAAAATTGAGATGAAAACAAGCTTCTCTTTGCAGTATCAGGCAGGTTTACTCAGTAGTAGTCAGTAGGTGCACTGCCTGATTAAAGAGGAGGAAAACCCCCGCTCAATTAGGAACGCTTCAACCTCAATTGACCCTAATCAGGTAAATAGTATTTAAATTAAGCTAAAATCAAATGCAAACTAGCTGAAGATGGATGTCTGGATAATGAGTGAAAATTACCTTCACGCAGGTGAATCTAATTTTTTATGTTCTGTTGAGTTTGAAAGCAAATACTCATTTCTCTATCACCTTGCCTTATTTTCTTTGTAGCAATTACATTATTTAAATATATATTATTTATTTGTTTACTTGTTCATTTCTATCTCATCCTACTAGAGAGAATATTAACTCCATGAGGGCTGGACCTTATCTGTCTTGGTCATCAGTGGATTCCTAGCGCCTACAGCAGTGCCTGGCATATACAGCAGGCCTTCAATAAATTTCTCCAATTAATGAATTCATAGATGTGCCACTTTGGTTCAATTTCTACGATATTAGAAACAAGTATAGTTCTTCAAGGAGACCATCAACAGTATTTCATAACATATCAAATGACTGCTCTAATGGCTGAAGTTGGTAATAGAGGGGAGAAGCCAGTCAAGGCTTTAGATTGACAATTTAGGAACTTTAGATTGAGAATTTAGATTGCCAAGGAATAAAAAAAGATATCTTCCCCCCACCCAGCTCAATGGACAATATGACTACCTATGACATTTAAAATACTAATCAACATCTAAACAATTCCTGAATCTTTTAACATCCTTCAATTCTGAAGTTATTTTGGTTCCCAATCTTGCTTTATCTCCATTTTGAAGAGAAATGTTCTTTATGAAAATGCCAATCTGTTAATACCACCTAACTTAGTGACGCTCTGGCCTCCAAATATATGGATTTTCCTTAGAGGTCTCTTCTCATCTGTCAGTAGAGAGACCTGTAATTTTGGTAATATATAATGAGAACGAAATCTGGTGCCTGATTCCTTAGCAGGGGAAAAGGTAAAATACTTCAAAGCAGGAAAAATGCAGCTCTTGAAAACCACCTGGAAAGCTGCAGAGAGCTAGAGAGCTTCAGCTTCGCATGCTCACTTCGATGTTACTTTCACAAAATAACTCCTTTCTTCCCTCCAGACAGGGAGGGGGTGGGAGGTGGGGAAATAGATATATCTCCATCCCCTTGCTGGGAAAGAGAACTTTCCAGGTAATCTTATGGATGACAGAGAGACATACAGGTGAGGATACAAGATTTCTGACTTGAGAACAGCTAACATAATTAAATTAGTATTTTAAGTGACTACCTAATCATAAACGATAGCTGACAAGAACTTTTGGTGCTGTAACAGTGGACCCTCTAATCTGAGAAGAGAATCACAATAGCAATTTGAAATTAATTATCATATCAATTGATAACGTTTTAGCAACTCCAAGTTAAAAGTCATAATAATTACTAACATTTATTGAGAGCCTACTAGGTGGCCAACACTGTTGTCCACAATTTACACATTATCATTTATTCCTCACACTGGTCCTATGAGATGGGTACTATTGTTATCCCCGAGAAAATGGAGACAGATGATAACAATAGCAAGAAGTGGAACTGTGATTCAAACCTAAGCAATTTTATATACTGAAACTTATAATAATGCATCCACTCCGAATAAACCTTACCAAAAACTGATGGATGCAGGGCAAGAGCACAATGTCTGTCAGAGTGAAGTACAGTCCTTCTGCAAACACATGCTCCAGAGGGGGCAGGTCAGAGGCCTTCGCTTTTCTGATGTGAGACGGTTCCCTGTTGGTAGCGGCTGGTTCTTCCTGCACCGTGAGCTTTGAGAACGCCACGTTCAGTTCCAGGCTCTGTGATGAAGGGTCCAGCTCTTCAGGCGTTTCCTGGCTATGGACCTTGCTCTTCGTTTCCCCTTTGGCAAGGGCAGGCCCCACTCTGGCAGCCTTCTGCTGCTTCAGCTTCTGCCGACGGAGCTTGTCATCGTTGTGCACTCTCACAGGCTCACTGAGCTTTTTCTCGAGCTGCAGGATTTCTGTAGGGATGCTTGGGTGCTGGTCAGAAGATTCTTGGAGAAAATTCTCAACAGCTAAAGGGATAGTGAGTTCACATAGCCTGGTCCACTGACTAACCTACAAAATAAAACAAGAAGTAAAATAATTCTTTACTTTCAACATGGCTTGAAGAAAAATAGCTTTCTATTGGGAAATAAGACTGGCTTAGAAAATGTGTCTTGAGCTAAACCATCCCTGAGCTAGGCTATTGTGCTATATCAAGACATATTTACAGTGTTTCAGAAGTGATAACATAAAACAATGGAGGCTTAGCATTCATGTATCTGGAATACATGCTATCCATCTGTATCCTCTTACTGAATAAATCCTTACTTCCCAAAGCCTTTAAAGTACAACACCCCCAGCCTGGCTGGAGTGGCTCAGTGGCTGAGCATGGACTCATGAACCAGGTCAGGGTTTGATTCCCAGTCGGGGCACATGCCCAGGTTGCGGCTCCATCCCCAGTGGGAGGTGTGCAGGAGGCAGCCGATCAATGACTCTCTCTCATCATTGATGTCTCTCTCTCTCTCCCTCTCTCCTTTCCGCTCTCTGAAATCAATAAAACACATACATATATATTTTAAAATAAATAAATAATAATAAAGTACACTCCCCAAAAAAGTAGGTTTCCAAAGCATTACTATTTAAGCTCCTGTTCATATGTAAAAGTTCCCTGTAAAAATCCTCAATGCAATTAAGAGATAAAAAAAGAAGTCATTCTCTAATATCTCCAAACCTCAGAAATTAAATCTTAAATTTGTATATTTCAATATGGCACTGAAATTGGAATCTGTGACAGGCTACTTTATTTCATTGGTTACTGTAGGTTGTTTTAAGGGAATGAAATTCTAGTTTCTAGTAGAAAGTTAATATCAATGTTTAAGTGAATATGTAATCACTACATGGCTTTAAATAACAGAAAAGAGACATTATACTTACCTCAGCACAGGCTTTCAAGCAAGTCTTTTTAAAACCCAGAAGTTCCAAAATGTCCGTCTTTGAAGGGTCTGCTTCATATGATTTCTGGATGATGTGTCTCAGTACAACTGCTAGTCCTGCTCTACAGAAAGTGTCTGGTCTTTCTACTACTGCAGGTAAATGGCAATTCTGGACTATCGGTGGAAGTTCTTGTCTCGAAATTATCTGTACTTCGACATCCTGTGACAGTACATTTTTAAGTAGTGAAACGTCTGTACTTTCTCTGGTAAGGACTAAACAAACTTTGAAGATTTTGCAGTCACAGTATGATAACAAAAATAAAGCTGCAGATGTATGAAGTGGAAAAATGCACCCTTCTATTTGGTGAGAAAAGTCCAGGTACAGATATTCTTCTGTAAGACTTTTCTTTACGCCTTTCATTTTCTTCTTTCATTGGATCACCTGAAGCATAAATGGAAGTGGTTATAAGCCTTAGAATATAATAATTTAGAAGCTAAAAGATGAATATTATAAAAGCGTGCTCTAAAAATCAGCAAGGATTTGTGATTGATCAGATTCTACATGAATTTGTTCCTGGACTGAATAAATGGCTCACAGAAAGAAAGATATCCACCCTGTGCAACTAACTAGTCTTAGGGGTAATTTTATACCCAGCTCTTTTAAAATGAGCAAACTCGGGTGCTTTGCAATATAGCCCTCCCCATCAAGTACTTTGGGGTTTCAGTACAGGTGAGAACAAGAAATGAATAGAATGAAAAATAAGAAATCACTAAGAATACTGAGAGTTGTCTGGGGAGAGTAGCCTTGAGAAGCTTTGACAGTGCTGGTCCTTCCACACTCTTTCTATGACCCTGCAACATAATAATCAGAGGGGTATATTTACTTCCTCATGAGAAATGGATTCTCCTAAAGTAAGTGGGTTTTGGTGTGTAATGAGCTATTGCATGCTGAGTCACAAGAGAAAAATAACTGAATTTCCTCATAACTTAGATGTTGATATCTGAGATAGCTCAAAGTTAACAGATCCCAAATCAAGTTCTTTATTCTCCCCCAGCCCTGAAATCTGCCCCTCGTCTACCTTTCCCGTCTTAGGTAATAGAACACCATTCTTCTAGCTGCTCAGGCCAAACACTTAGGAGTCATTGTTAATTTTCTTTCACACCTCCATAACCAGTTCATTAAAATGATATTTTGGCTCTACCTATAATATAGATCTAGAATCTGACCATTTCAAACTATCTCCACTCCCTCCACTGTAACCCAAAACACCATCACCTCTCTTCTTCTGAATTACAGCGTTTGCCTCCTAACATTGCTTCCCATCCTACCTCCCCCTCTAGTCTATTGTCAAAATAGCGGCTAAAGTGATCCTGTCAAAAATGAAGTCAGCTTATGTCACTACTCTGCTCAAACCCTCCAATATCTTCCCATCCTACTCAGAGAAAAGGCAAAATTTCTACAATGGCCTACAAAGATCTCTTTGCTCTAATCCTTTCTATGTCTCTGAGTTCATTTCAACTTACCTTACTACCCACTACTCCAGCCAAAATGCCTTGTCATTCCTCTAAGATATTAGGTACATTCCCACACCAGGGCCTTTGCACTTGATGTTTCCAGTGCCTGGAACACTCCCTCATATCCTTCAGGCACTTACTCAGGTATGAACTTCTGAGATATTCCCTGCCTACTATATTTAAACCTTGAACCCTGGAAAAACAAACAAAAAACTTTTCTTTATAACCCTTATCACTGTTGCAACATTCTATATATTTGTCTGTCCAACTAAAATGTTCCATGACTAGAGATTTTGCTTTGTTCACTCCTGTTCCTAAAACAGGGCCTGCTATATATATGAAATCAAAAAGTATTTGTTGAATGAATGCATGGATGAATATAAACACTGATTATTTTAAAGATGCAAGCATACACAATTTTGAGGTCTAATTATTGATGGTATTTTCAAGTCACAGTCCTGAAGACTCGTCAATTATAACTTTTTGTTTGATTTATACAATTCCTGGGTCTAAAATTCCCCACGTTCTTATCCATAAATTACAACTCAAAAATTGACACTAGATGGCACTCTCTAAAAGCATTCACCATGGAAGCACGTAGCAATAGGAAAATGGTATTATTAGGAGAAAATTTATTTTAAAAGCCCATAAAAATTACACATGCAACTCTTTCTTTTAAGTGTATTTGAAATGTTAGTAGCCTAAATTTTAAGAAATCTTCAACATACTAAATTTCCTTTAATGTTCTAAATTCCTTAGATTATTTTTTTAAATCAAAAGCAAAATAGTCAAATACTCTTTAAGCTTTTTGGTTCTCAACATTTTTATTAAAGAGATAATAACCCATCATAACAAAGGTATACAGTTATCAAGATGCTATCTTAGAAAACCTCTTGATAATGCAAATAATCACTACTGTTTTATATTTCTTTTAAAACACAACAGATGTACTCCCTAGTTTGTTACCTCTTTAAAAGATTATCTAGAGGAAAATTAGTTCATGTAACTTAAAAGCAACAACTTTTTAACCCATGGAAACCATTTTTCCCTGAGCTTACCTTTTTTTTTTTTTAAACCTAGAGCTATAGTTTTAAAAACATATATATACACACACACACACATATATATGCACATATATATGTGTGTGTGTATGTATCTATATATATATATATAGAGAGAGAGAGAGAGAGAGAATATTAAAGCCAACAGGCAAAAAACCAACACTTTCTAGGAAACTGATAGTCTCTTTGAGGAGTTTGCCCCTGCAAATCTATTGCCTACTAATTTACCAATTCTCTTAACTCGTTCTGACAGTGGGATACTATAAAGAAGATCCCTAAGCGCTTCAAGAATCAGATTTGAAATAAAACATGATCGATTTCATTTGCCCAGCAGTCTAGAAAACAGCAATTATGAGACTGGTCCTAACACTTAAAACAAAAACCTGAAAACAATGTCATGCTATGATACAGCTTTTTATTTAGGAAATGTAGAATTTTTTTTTTAATTAAGGTTTGTGCATATTTGCTACATTCTAAAGCACATAAGAACCTTGAGAGTAGGCTTTTATATACAAACTATTCTCTCCATAAGCACTTAAAAATGCTAAATGTCAATGAGATAGAATAGCAATAACCTGCCCATGGAGATATCTAAAAATTAATGAGATGCCTGAGAGAAAATGCAAAGTACTGTTGGTTCTTAACAAAATTTATTTTTTCCAATATAGATGTTGATGTTTTCTTCCTAGGAGATTAAAGATGTTACTTAATGATCTTGGAGTTAAAAAAAATTACTCTCCCTGGGCAATTTCTCCTCATAAAGTACTAATGTAATTCCTAAAATAAATATTAAGCATTAGCAAACTTGTACAAATTTTGTATGTTTTTGGCCTGTACTGTGTCTTTACTTTTTCCAACAGGGTAGGACACAGTTTTTGCTTAAAGTTTGCAAATACCATAGGCAAAGAAATCCCTCTTTTTCTTCTCCATTTCTACCTAAAGAATTCCTTTGTTCATTAATGTTGTCATGAGCTTACAGAGGTAGGTCCTGTAGAATCATCCCTTGGGTTTCCAGAGCTTCAGGGACACAGCCCTTGTTACTCTGTATTACATTCCTGAAAGGAAGTGAGAAAGCAGCACACGAAACCCCAAACTTTAGGGGCTGAACAGAGCAATGGAGTGTGCATCTCCTTCTCCTCCTGCACATGCCAGGGAATGTTGCAGAGGGAATAAATAGGTAAAAAGAAAATGTTTAAGCTTTGGTTTCATTACTTGGGAATCTTCAAAGATAGTTTAAACAACCAATGTAGTCATATTTTTAATATTTTAGGCATTTAGGCTTTTCTTGCATTCTCCTTCTAATTAATATATCTTAGTGTTGATAAGTTAAAACATTTCACGTATGAAAAGGGAAATGAGTTGTATAGGTGTTTTCTTACCTAATCCACATACACACATGGGGC